TTGAGTTATTGACATTCACCAAGCTTATGATCATATTTAACTGATTGCTTATTAGGTAGGTCGCAGAGACTGTCGATTGGTTGCATGAATGTTGGGGAAGTGTTATGAGATAACTTTGATGTTTTTGTTACCAGAGGATCTAGTTTTAGATCCGTTCGATCACAAACGGACATCTCCTTGACAATCCCTAGAACTTTGGTTTCACTGTTCTTATTTTTGTTGTGTGGTGTTGGATTTAAGCGCATCAGTTGCTACTCTGATCGCGGAGTCAACCATCTATTCTTCAATGTCTTTCTTCTTTATTTTCCTCTGACTTCGTCACTGCTTCTCTTCTTGCTGATATCTCCCAGTTGGGCGTCTTATTCTTTTATTGGTATCTTGCTTCCAAATATCTGCTTTCGTTTGCTAATTTTCACATAATTTGCTTATTAATCTCCTCATTTATCGACGCATCTTTTATGCTAAAATTACTGAGATGTATCCGGGAATTCTTCTACCAGATATTGTCTTAATCTAACCAATTTAATTTGAATTTAGAGTTTTCTGGGCGTTTATTTATTAATTGAAGGTTGATATTTATCAACTGACGTGAAGGGTTTATTAGTGGCTTACTTCCAAGTGAGACTCCTGCAAGTCTAATGAGAGAGAATTCATGGCCGCTGTGGCCGACCAAGTCGAACGTGAAGACAGTTACTGAACGTTTCATGTTGGTATTCATCATGCACTGACATCAGTCCGAGAAACACTGGAAACCTAGGATCACTGTTTCATTCTAGTATGGAACTCTTTAGCAATATGCCCCGCCAGAGTTCTAGCCTGGAACCTTCAGGTTCCATGGTGAGCACGTTACCGTTGGTCCACTGCCCCCCTTCCCCCAATGTGGACACTGAATATCTGTCCTCAAGCCCACCATGTTTGTCCCACCAACCACAACTTCCCATTGGAACTTCAAGAATCACCTGCTTCAGTTCGTAAGGAATTTATTATTATTATTATTATTAGTCCCTTGGGTTCCTAGTGGAACATAGGGCTTCAGCAGCACGCCTCCAGTGACCTCTGTTCTCTGAGATCTTTTGAACCTGGTCCCACGACAGCCCAGAAGCTCTCATTTCCTGCTCGCACGACCTCCTCCATGTCACCCTCGGACGTCCAACTCGTCGCTTCCCATGGGGATTCCACTCGAGGGCCTGACGCGTGATGTCCTCCGTCGGCCTTCTCAGTGCATGGCCAATCCATCTCCACTTCTTCCTGCATATTTGTTGCGTGATAGGTTCTTGGTTGGTTCGTTCCCAGAGTTCCTTGTTGCTTATTTTTTCTGGCCATCTGATCTTCAGCAGCGAGCGTAAGCAGTTGTTGATGAATGTCTGTAGTTTATTGGAAATACCTTTCGTGACGCGCCAAGTCTCTGAGCCATACAAGAGCACTGACTTTACGTTGGTGTTGAAAATCCGTATCTTGTTCCGCATGCTGAGTGCAGAAGATCTCCACACTGGTTTCAGGCTGATGAACGCCTGTCTTGCTTTTCCGATTCTGACTTTGACGTCCTCGTCCGTCCCGCCTGTAGTTGAAACAGTGCTTCCTAGATAAGTGAAGGAGGTTACTTCCTTTAAGTTTCTCCCGTTGACGGTGATTGGAGTTTGTCGTTGTTGTTGTTGATGGTGGTGGTGCGGTATCTTCATCACTTCTGTCTTCTCTATATTCACCTGAAGTCCCGTCTTCGCTGCCTCTTCTATCAACTTGTTAGTTTTTGCCTGCAGATCTTCAAGTTTATGTGACATTAGGCATAAGTCATCGGCGAAATCCAAGTCTTCTAGGTTCTTTTCCGTCGTCCAGTGTATCCCCCTCTTCTCGCTGCCTACTGTTTGCTGCATGATCCAGTCCACCACAATCAAGAATATCATGGGGGATAGTAGGCAACCTTGTTTCACTCCTGTCTTCACTTCAAAGGCATCACTGAGCTTCCCATTGTGGATTACTTGGCATGTAGCATCTTCATATAGTTGTTGAATGAGGCGGATAAAGGTTTGCGGTACTCCGTAGTATTGAAGCAGTTTCCAAATTACTTCTCGGTCGACGCTGTCAAAGGCCTTCTCAAAGTCGATGAAGTTGAGGTGGAGAGGTGATTGCCATTCTATGCTCTGTTCTATGATGATACGAAGCGTTGCAATTTGGTCTGCACATGATTTGTACTTCCTGAAGCCTGCCTGTTCCGGTCGTAGTTTTGAATCCAGTGCATCCCTTAGCCTCTCCAGGATGATGCGGCTTAATATTTTACTTGGGGTGGACAGGAGAGTGATTCCGCGCCAGTTCTTGCAAGCACTGAGGTCTCCCTTCTTCGGCAGTTTGACAAGGTAACCCTTCTTCCAATCGTCAGGTACCTTCTCTTCCTTCCACACCTTCTGCAATAGTGGTGTGAGCATGGCCGCTGTTGTCTCTGCATCTGTTCTCAGTGCTTCTGGCGGTATTCCATCTGGTCCTGCTGCTTTCCCGCATTTCAGTAGCTTTATGGCGTTCAGGACTTCCATTTTCGTTGGGGGATTTATGTTCACTTGTAATTCAGCGGCTGCAGGTGGTATTTCTGGACGAAGTGCAGGTGGTGGTCGATTCAAGAGCTTCTTGAAGTGGTCGGCCCATCGTTTCCTCTGTTTCTCTTCTTTCGTAATTAAATTTCCTTCTTCATCTTTTATTGGTTTCATCTGTGTTGGTCTATTCCCTGATAGCAACCTGGTTATTTGATACAATGTCGTCAGGTCTCTCTTACCTGCAGCCTGTTCTGCTTCACTTGCCAGTGTTTCGTAGAAGTGTCTTTTGTCTTTGCGTGCACTCTTCTTCACTTCTTTGTCCAGTGTTTTATACATTGTGCTCAGTTCCTCTTGTCGTTGAGCATCCTTGCACTGGTTTATCTTCTGCTTCACCATCCTCCTCTCCTCTATCAGCTTCCAGGTATCCGTCGAGATCCATTCCTTGTCTTCTTTCTTCTTCCTTCCTAATACTGTTGTGCAGGTTTCTTTCCACATAGCTTTCAAAGACTTCCAGTGTTCTTCCACACAGGTTTCTTCAGGGATGTCCCTCGACGTCTCCCATTTTGTCTTGATGGCTGCCATGAAGATCTCCTTTGTAGTTTCATCCTTCAGTTTCCGAGTGTTGTACTTGGGTTGAGGTCTATCACCAGCTTCCTTGAAGGCCTTTAACTTGATTTGGAAGGTTCCTTGCACTAGATAGTGGTCTGAACCTACATCTGCTCCTCTTCTTGACCTTGTGTTAAGTAGACTGCGTCTCCATTTTCTTGAGATTGAGATAAAGTCGATTTGATTTTTAGTGTGTCCATCTGGTGAAATCCATGTCGCTTTGTGGATATCTTTGTGCCTGAACACACTGCCTCCAATCACCAAATCGTTGAATGCGCAGAATTCTGCAAACAATTCTCCATTCTCATTCATTTCACCTAGTGCCTCTCGACCCATGGTTAGTTCTCTTCCCGTGTTGTCCCCTCCCAGTTTGGCATTCATGTCGCCCATTAGAATTTTGATATCGCCAACTGACGTCTTGTCCAGTGTTGATTGAAGTTGTCTGTAGAATTCCTCCTTTTTCTCTTGCTCTGCATTATTTGTAGGTGCATAACATTGTATGATTGTGACCTTTCTTCCTTTTGAGTTGAATCTTGCTGTCATGATCCTGGAGGAGATTGGTTCCCACTGCATGAGAGCCTTCGATGCTCTTGAGGACATCATGATAGCCACTCCCTCAGTGTGCTCGTGGTTGGCGTCTGGGTGACCGGAGTAGATTATTGATTCTCCAGTTGACAGTTTGGAGAGTCCACTCCCATTCCATCTGCTTTCGCAAATCCCAAGCACTTCGATGTTATACCTTCTCATCTCCTTTGCAATCTGGGCTGCCTTACTGGGTTCAAACATCGTGCGGACATTCCATGTCCCCACGTTTACTTTCGCTTTCATCGAGAGAGAGAAGACACATCGGCCAATTGGCTTCCCGAAGGCTTTCACCAACTGGCGTCATTTCGCCTCTCCGATTCCAGCGGGGAATAAGTTTGTTTTCATTTTTTATATTTTGTTTGTGCTTTGAAGTTTCTTTAGCGGTTAGATTTGTTTTACGGGGTAGGGTTGCTAGCCCTATGCCCAACCTTCCCTCTTTACCCGGGCTTAGGACCGGCTAGTAACTAGTAAACTAGTTAACCAGGCGAGGTTAGTTCGTAAGGAATACCAACCTGAAATTAAATTTAATTTTTCGGTAATCAGATCAAGAATACAACTGTGTTTGAAGTCCCATGCATCCATGGTCATCTTGGACTCTAAAGGAAACACAAGTTCAAATCCCAATAACTACTTCTAGTCACGACCTTGGAGTCACTTGTTTCCCATTGATTACAAGTAGTTTTTAGTTTGCCTGAATAATTTTCGTGTAGGCAACAATAATATAATATCCCTTCTCAAAGAAAGAACAGTTAATTTATTCCGTTCATTTTTAATCCCTACTTATGTATAGATAGAAGATTTGATTCCTTTAGGCAAAATAACTAAAAACTAATTTTCAGTAGAATAAAAAACTGGCCTATGAAGACGATTGATTCCATTAAATTTGTTAAGTTTACTCTACTCACCTTCTCTCTATCATGAATATATTAACCAATCAGAAGCTAGATAGCATCGCTTGCAGATAATGTTAAAAATGACCAATGAAAATCTTTCGCAAGACTATATTCTCTTATAGTCACACCGTAGAAAAATAAAAAAGTTGTATTTATTTTACACCACCACATAGGATTGAATTACATGTAACCAATCAGCTGTGTTTACTTTATCTACACTCATATTTTTCAAAAATATTTTGCGATCAAGAAAATATGCATCTCTCAATGTGTTTGTTGTAAAGTAGACTAACAATTTATTAGAAACACCATTCAGTTAATCCTATTCTACACATTGAGAATAAAATGCGTAGGTGTTCATCTGTGTTATTTTATAGAGGCAGGGATATTGATTAAAACACACAGAAATAATTGAGCATTCAAAGAATCTTATTTCTAATAATTTTTAAATAATGTTGACTACATTAAAGAGTAAGGGGGAAATTTTACAGTTCAATGTTCAATGCAAAAGACTGGTTTAATGTCTGCCATTTTATATTCCTAATGAAAATAGTAACCAAAATAATTTACTCTCATTTGTACTAAGCAATCATACTGAAAAGTAGATTTTGTACATGTCTGATCAGTTACCCAATAAACTAATAAATCAATTCAATTGACATTTATATTAATAAATAACCCGTCGAATGAAAACATTCTGAGATGATGGAATCAAGAACTGATACAGATATAAATCCGATAAATTATTCAAATTATTCTTCAGATTCAATGAATTTTCTTCATTCAAACAATAACAGTAATATTTCTTGGTATCCCTGCTCAACGTTATCAATATCTACGTGTTCTTCAGTCCAACTGTCTACCACGACAACTACAACAGAGACTACACCAAATGATATCCCAGATCTTAATAAACGATTACAGAATTCATCTCCTTCATCTATATGGTACACTAATACACCAGTTAATGAATTATGGTCAAATTTTGGACATTATGAAGAATCATTTGGTAAAATGAATTCACAATATGATGTTTACCGCCAACAGCATCATAATCACTTACCTAATGGATTACATCATCAACACGATAATCAATTACAACAGAAATCAATAGACAGATCAAATGATTATATCCAATCAATTGATAATCCTCGTGGTTTAATACAAACATCATCACCATTATCCTTATCGACAATAACGTCTAGAGTAACTTTGAATACTGACGAAGTTAATGATGTTGGTAAATATAGTCAAGACGATCAATACTTTGCTAATCACCCTGTCAATATGAATAGTAACAATAATAACAATAATAATACTAATCAAATAACGTCTGATGCAGAGGTGTTTCGTCAATATGCTAGTAATATTACCGTTAATAGTGATGATAAGTCATTTCAGAGTCATGAGAGTTTGACATGTTTACCAACAAGTCCAAGAAGCTATGTGAATGAGTCTCAGTTATGCATAGGACAGTTAGACACAGAACTTCTCCATATGCACCATGGTTATCTACAGCAGCCTCCTCCTCCGCCACCACCTATGACCTTTCAATATTTACATTCCCCATCGTTAAATTGTATTCCATTACATCGTCATAATGAATACTCTCAGTTTCAACTATCACATCATTGTGTTTCAGCATTGAATCAAAATGAAATGGATCATAGACTGTCACCAACGCCAACGCCAAAGCCAAGGCCAACAACAACAACAACCACAGTACTGACAGCAACATCAACAACTTCCTCGAAAGGCTGTACAGTACCCTTACCTGTACCATCTATGATCTATCAACATCAACAACAATTACAACAGATCAATAATAATCATTCAAATTTCTTACAGAATTCAACTAATCAATCAAAACAATCATGTCATGCTAAACCACCTTATTCATATATCAGTTTAATTACAATGGCGATACAAAATTCTTCAACACGTATGTGTACATTATCAGAAATTTATCAATTCATTATTGATTTATTCCCATACTATCGACAACATCAACAAAGATGGCAAAATTCAATTAGGCATTCATTATCATTTAATGATTGTTTTGTTAAAGTTTCACGTAGTCCAGATAAACCTGGTAAAGGTTCCTATTGGACATTACATCCAGATTCTGGGAATATGTTTGAAAATGGATGTTATTTAAGACGACAAAAACGCTTTAAAGATCCTAAACGTGAAATGGGTCATCGTAGTCAACGTAATACTGCTGCTACAGCTACTGCTGCTGGTGGTATTACAAGTACACTGACATCGACATCAATAATAAAGGGTAATCTAGATACTACGCATACATCAAGTATTCGTACCAATAATAACAGTAATGCTTATTCCAATGTAGTGGGAAATATACTACATCCTATTGGTGAACATTTATTACTTCCATCCGGTGTGAAACGTGCTTATTCTAAAGCAGAATTTAATCGTTTACCAAATACTCGAAATGATGATCCTTTGTTACACAATAGAATAAAATCATTTCCTGTCAATATGTCTACAGGTGACAGCAATGACTTTGATGAAGACGAGGATACTGGCGTTCATCAAGATGATGATGATGAAGGTGATGATGATGTAGATGACGAGGAAATCGATGAAGAAGATGACGATGGAGAAGAAGAAGAAGAAGGTGAAGAAGTTAACGGTCACAACTTCAACACCAACAACGATTTCAACCTGAATAATAATAATAATAATAATAGTCATAACAATAAAAGGCTAGAAGGGAACTCAGTAGATAAGCCCAATCACTATTATCCTCAACATTCTAATCAATTTTCTGTTGATTTAAAACAATGTTCAAGTAATCGACAACACTATTTAAACAAAGAGTTTACTCAAGAAGTTATTGAAAAGTCGTTGAGTAAATTTAAACCATCTCAATTGTTTCTATTAAGTCCATATGATAGTTGTGAGTCGACAAAGTACATTACAGATATTATATATCCAGAAAGTAATTATGAACATTCAAGGAATTTTGACGATTATTCGCATCAGTCTCTTCCGCATAATTGTCATATTCAACAGATGAATAATTATGCCGAGAAAGTCAATTTTCAGCACCCTATAGAAAATACTACTTGTGTCAACCCCATCAATAGTAGTAGTAGTAGTAATGGTACTAGGATCCACTCGGAAACAGATTTATACAATCCTGTCTCATACTCATCAACATCACCAATAAATGCTAAAAACAAGTCACTGACAGATTACTTAACAACTGGTTGTATCAATAATAATGGAATAACTAATCCTCATCATTACTTTCCATCAGTTTCATCCGGTTCCTCATTATCTTCATCAGCTGCTTTTCACTCTAATTCGGCAATGAATTTAATGCCTGAGTTATATTATTCTGATAACGAATTTAGCGCTCATCGGTATGTTACATCCTACAATTCGTCGAAATGTACACATATTTCAAGTATACTTACTAATAATACTACTACTAATATGCCTATTAGTAGTAGTAGTGAGAGCAATGATATAAAATTTTCAGGTAATTCAAGCATAATACCAACAACTGAAAAATACGGTACAACGAATGATAATTACTATGGGGGTACTCAGCAACAATGTACAATCGGTAATGAACAACAAATTGATCAACAGTATCATTTCAGCCAATATTCTACCCATCAGGATCTCGTTATACCACAGTCGGCAAGAACAACTAACACACTGACAAATATACCATTACAGCTTAATCAAACCTACCAACATTTATCACTTATTCAGTCACTAGACGATAGTCAATACATCTCAAGTAGTGAAATACCTCTGGCCAATACAAATATTTCATGTAATACAACTAATATACTTTCATCTTCATTACTGACACCATCATTATCATGTTTATCACTGTCAACACCATCATCATCATCTTTCGGCATATCTTCTTCTTCATCATCAATACCAAAAGTGAATACTCTAGCTGAAATTCCTTCATCAACGTCCACCGTTTCATCAACTTCAACACTTTTGTCAATAGCAACAGAATCAACAAATCCACTTTATACTACATCTAAATCATTTCAACATTTTCATTTAAAAACATTAGAATCTAATGTATGGACTACAAATTACTTAAATTTATCAATAGAAAACACCGAAAAACAGTTAAAATATCTCGAAGAAGGTGAAAAATTTCAAAACATTGAACATTTAACGGTTCAATGTGTCAATAGTGATAAGAAGATGACAAATAAAAATCATGTAGAAGAAGATGAAAAAGATGAAGGTGAAGTTGAATGTGAAAATGATGCTGAAGATGATGGTGAATATGAAAATGAAGCATTAAATCGTTCGGAAGCCTTCAATAAAACCTTTTCAATTGATCATTTAATGCATTTTCAAAATCCTGATCTAGATATAACCAATACAACAAATACATTGATACAATATGCTACAAAAACAGATATATCTCTGTTTGAAAGGCTAAGAAATTCAACATTTCGATTAAATGATCTTAATGACAATAATTCGACAATATCTATTCACGGGAGATGATTATATATGTGGTCCCTGTTATACTGGTGAGTTGTCGACTTTTAATATTATTTTCATGTTTATTGAAAGAATAACTATTGTAACTGTGATAAAGATATTGATCATATATCTCTTTGTCTTTAAAAAAAATGATTGAAAATGAAAGGAAACCTTTGATCTCGACAAGATTTCAAGTAGAATCATTCAGTTTTCCTATGCTGGTACTCGACCGACTGACCATGAAGGTCCAGTTTCTGACTAGGTTTTAAATTTCCCTTCAGTTATCAAAACTTTCTGTTTGAATGCCATGTGATTCCGTGATGCGTAACTATTTGTCCTTCCTAATCACACTGGCGACCCACAAGCTGCTGGTTTCATTCCCACCGAAGAAAAGGTGGAAATGGTTGGCAAGTATGAAATGAGATAGTTGAGTGTTCACTTGTTACTTGTAAACAAGGTGAATAATAAAACAAGAATTGTAATGAAGATAATAATGGTAAATTGTTTCTTTATAATGAAATCAGAAAAACAGGGAAGGGTTAAGTTTATCGCAGAATAAGTTATTGAACATACTTCTTCTGCAAGCAGAGAATAGGCTGAAATCGGCGAATTATCTGTGAGTGATTCTACCATGTACAGGTTTCGAAAGTGTACTGCTTTTGAACTGTTCCCTTCTACTTAGGTGCTATATTGAAGTAAATTTACACTGCTGAGGGGTTTCTTACAAGGACGAAATAACTGTACAGTGATCCCAACTTTCCAATAATTTTCCAGCTGATGTCAGTCTCTGATGAATACCAACTTGAATTTGATTGGTACTGCTTCAACACAGCTGTTTTTAGATCTGTTGATTAAACTAAGATGATTCTGACGATCCAATTCAAACTGCCAACTTCGAGTCTGATGTAGGAATGGTTCATCACTAAACTCAATACAAGTGGATAACAACAGCAATCATAAGAATTACAGTCATAATCGCCAATTAAGTTATTATGATACTAATTACCATGGTGGTGTTTTATTCCCCATTTTTTAAAACAACAACATTCCTAACAATAGCTAAGACCATTTGATTGTTTCCAACAGTTTATCGCTGACTGATACGGTGTTTTATCGGCTACAAGCAACAATAGACATAGGTATCACTAACTTTCTACATGGCTAGAGGCTAGGAGCGAGATCCAGGACGAGGGTTTCGTCTCATCATGAACTCACCAGTTGCATGTATCTGCTTCTCGGTGAGTGATGTTGTTCTCTCTAATACTTGAATTTGTGACTAATCACTACAAACATCAAAGTGTTATACACTAAGCCATCGAGGCCATCGATAGTCACTTCTTGTACGACGGGTATAATTTTAATGTTGTTCCTTGTTGATTCAATCGAATTTGATCAGTCTCTAGTATTTATTGTTATTTGTGATGAGAAAAGTAACTTCGTAAATCTACTTTAAACTCTTAGAAGTATTCAGCTATCATCTATCAACTTCGCTGTATAAGTAGAGGTAAACTAGAATTTCTACTTGTTTTCAATATCCAGCTTCATAGAAAGAGAGAATAATTCAGTTCAGAGATTCATTTACAGAAAATTCATTTGAGACGGATAGTTTATTAATTTTTAGAGAAAAGAATTTTATCGATTCATTCTCTTCAAGAATATGAAAAAATCTGTCAAAAAATCTGGATGAATGAAAAAAGTATATCCATGGAAATGTATTTTATGAGAATTTAAAATGGCAAGGCATCGAGGAACGCCTAAACATAGCTCAAAAAAGAAATTCATTGTCGAATCTTGAATTCATAAGTGACAATGCGGTGGATGTCCTTTGGAAGAGACTATCCAGAGAAACAAACAAAACCTTTTCCTATCAGAAACTTATTTGACAGTATACAAAGGATAAGCTGGAGCTTTAAGTCAGATCAGTAAACATATGTTACTTAACTTGTTACAGTAGTGTCTAGCACCATATTGGAAAATGCACTAGTGAACACTATCCAATCTGGCTGATAGCAGGAGAATTGAAATGTATCTTTAACTCGATAGTAGAACACTTGGTTCTTCTTGATAAGTCCTTGAAAATTTTTTATAAAATGTGAACAAGTCACTGAGAAGTAATAAGGATTAGACATGTGGACATACCTGAAACACTAACCATTCAACAGTTCAAACTATCTTTGTGTATTCATGAAAGAAGTAGGTACAACCGCTTACGTTGTCATGGTCATTATAGAAGACTAATCATTCTATCTGAAGTTATATTTGTTGTCGAGTCATTTATTTATTTCACTATGTACCTTGACTAATTTACTTTTAGTATGCAATGCATTTGGACCTTTGGTTGGAAATTATTTTGGAATGTTCTATCCTTTCTATTCGATGCTCACTAAGGTGTAATGAAGAGAATGAGTTCGTTGAAAAGAGAATATTTTCTTCACCGTAATCATCTTCTTACGTGTTGTGGGAAAATAATGTCTTTGAACTAGTTAATGACTTAGCAACTAATTAGACAACCAATTAGGTTTCTTTATTTGGTCTGCTTGGTGGTTCGAACCCAGTACCCATCGCCTCGAACTGCTAGGCGTCACTGGGGCATGACAGCCACCTTTTTTGCTAGGATTATTTATTGGTACTTTTAATTTCTCGTTGTTATACTGGGTTGAACTGCTCGACTTCTGTTGAGAGATGGGCTTTTATGTGGATGTCTGGATACTTTCAAGGAATGTTCTTTATGTTGTAATCAGCTTAGTTTCCTTATTTTTTTATCCGGTAAAGTTGTTATCGTGTAGAATGAAGGAATCTGATTGGTTAACCCAGCAGCTGTTTAGGTGACCTTGAAAGTTGTTTCTTTAAACAAGTAAATTATGCCACTTTAAACCTTCTACAATCACACACCTATTTACAAATACTTCTAAAGGTCACTGGAGCAATCACTGAAATAGCCTATCATCTTACTTACTTTTGGCTGAAAAAGTAGTTTTTCTGTAAAATAAAGAAACCGTATTGCTTATTTTAGTAGTTGCTTAGATGGCGTTTAAAGTCATCCCTATTTACACCGACCAACATTTATGTTTCTCGATTCAGTTCGATGAAATCATCAGAGCTAGTTTGAAATTAGTGAGGGATATAGTATGGAATGACTTTAGAGGTCTTTGTTTTGAGCAGGATGGTAGTTTTCTCATAAAGTGAGGAACTTTAACTGATTACTTCAGTAGTCGTTAAAGTACCATTTAGAGTAACTCATAGTATACAGCGCCTGAAAACAAACATTTCAGATTGATTTTAAAGATAACCATGACAAAACCTGAAGTAGCCCATTAGATTTCCTTATTTTATGAAAATCTGCCTTTCCGACAGAAGTAAAGAAACCTGATTGGTTATCTCAGTCATTGCTAGAGTAATCTTTCGAGTCACTCACTATTTAATATCAATTGACGCGTAAATGTGAAGGAAAAGTAAAGTCAATGGAGTCAGTGAATTGATAAACTTTTGGGATGTCTGAGTCAAGGTGACTTTAGAGAAACTACGAGCCCAGGTTGCGTACTTTTTCGGACTTCTCAGTAGGGTGTGGCTATAATCTTAACTAAGGGGTTAATTTGAACAAGACAACCTCGATGGAAGTGATGTCCCACCCGAGATTCGAACCAGTATCAACCAGTGTTGTACTCAGCCAAGTTGCCCCTAAGCTATTCAGGTGGTGACGCCCTACATGGTGACTACAACACTGGGTGACGTGGGTTAATATCTGAGACGAGAAAGTAGTTCCGTCGAGGTTGCAGATACCCCCTGCTGAAGAGTGCAAAAAAATGGAACCTACGTCCAAGGCTTACTGCCGATTGCCTCCAACCAACTAACATCTACTGATGTGTACAGTGATGCCGAGCCTCCTAGCTTGGTGGCTACATAGTAAATAAGATTAATAGAATTCGGTCTACACTCAGGACCAGACAATTTGAGATTCATTGCACCAGACTTCCATTTCTTTCCGGTTTGGGACTTCTCCTCAGTGAACGCCTAGATTTATACTTTGGGGGTCAACTAGGTTAGTTCTGAGGGTGGATACACATCAAGGGCGTCGGTTAGTGGTTGCGCTATATCACCAACTGATAGAAGTAAAAAAATAGAGTGTTGTTGCATTCCAATAGCTTCGTGTTTGATCCTTGACGGTGTCATGCTTACACACTGGTGAAGAGTTTCAAACTAATATACAACAGCTCACCAGTGTTCCCTTGTTTTCAATGGTCCTCCAACTGGTGTCATTCGAAGATAAAAACTGTACTGAAAACTATCAACACCTATCAAACCGATCATTCAAACATTGTGTGTATTTTATGTTTGAATGAGAGAATGAACAATTATAAGTGAAAGTAAATTACTGAGTCTAGTGTCTTAAATACAATGCTCATCTAGCTAGAAGAACTTACCTTAGCCTTAAAATCATAGAAAACTTCAAGTGTAGATTCCTGTCCCCACCTCACCCCCCTAGTGACAATATACTAAACAAAACGTTTTGTCACAGTTACAATGATAGTAATGATGGATCGTGACCAGCAGGGGAATCCAGGATGCACATTTCGTCCTATTTGGGACTCGTCAGCTAGATGTACCTGCTTCCCGATGAGTGATGTTTATTCCCATCAGGATTCGGACTCGCTTCAAGCGCCAGAGCGTTATCTACTACACAATCGAGACACGATAGCCACTTCTTGTGAGACGGGTATAGTGTTTAGTTTAATTGTTTTTATATCATACCGTCTTTGATTGGACCGAACTGATCGGTCTCTATTGGTATATGGGATCCTGTGCAGATGCCTCGATATTACCGGTGCTGTAACGGTAGTAATGATGTATCGTGGCTAGCAGTAGAATTCAGGATGCGCAGTTACAATAAGTTCATAAAAAAGTTGAACTACCGAAATGACATCTGAAGTGAATTTCTCACTTATAAAATAGAATTTATCCTTTCATTTACGAGATAGAACTACTAGGGAACCTCTAAAATAACTGAAATACAAAAACACAACACATTTTTTGTTGAAAACGGAAATAG